CACTATAGCAAGTTTTATTTTCATTCATGTAAATACTTGTTGGAAACAAGACTTTGTGTGACCCCATGAGGTCCTCTCAGAATTTACCAACAACCAGTTGTTTCACAAGAACTCGGTGAGTTATCTCCCTCTCCAATATAACCACCAATACCAACATTTGAGACCGCCTCCGTGGTCTAGTGGTAGAGCGTTACCCTGTGTGGCGCTCGGCATTAAGGGGCTTAAACAAGGACTGGTCGGCTCGGAGTCTGGGTCTAAGTTGGGTATTCATGTTAAACTGCGGCATGGTATCTCAGTGAGCTAGCACTATAAATCGGCATCAGTCCAGACTTGAACAAGCACACACACACACACACACACACACACACACACACACACACACACACACACACACACAGAGACACAGACAGACACACACACACACACACACAAACACACACACAGACACAGACAGACAGACACAGACAGACAGACAGACAGACAGACAGACAGACCGACACACATACACGTCGCTATATAAGTGCAATAATCTTGGACGGGACGTTAAACCCCATTTCACCTCACCTCACCAACATTTGAATATGCTCATTCAGTTACATGATTTTGTGAATAGTAGCAAAGTTGTAGTGGTGAATTCTGTGGCTATTCGTTGCAGGGAACGTCGTTAGCTATGTCGTTTAAGAGATAAATATAGATATTTGGTGGTTGTATTGGATTTATGTAAAGGGTTGAGCATTCTACATGCATCCTTGGGTCTGTTTACCCTAATGTAGAAGTTCAAATCACTTAAATATGTCATCAGAGTCCAACATTGTATTGATATTCCATGTCTATCCAACAATCTCTTGGCGGCCATCTTGGACATTTTGGCTCAAGTGACGGTGTTTCTTTTCTAAAAGTGTTAGCTATACTTCTGTGAGTTATATGCATTTACGTCCTTGCTCACTTTTTTAAAGTTAAAAGTTTCTGAAGTCTAAAGACCCATTTTGGAAATTTTTGAATAGGCGGCCATCTTGAATTCTTGTAGATCTGTCAAAAGTCGAAACCGTTCAGTAGTTGTTAATATTTTTTTATAAACAAAAATAGCTTTTTCGCAATGCAACACGTTTTTTCATCAGAAGATCGACCTCATCTGAAATATGGAAGAAAGCTTGACAACTGGTGGCCATATTGGATTTTTGCAGACTTGACATATTTCACGAACTGGGATTGCTTGGGACTTTTTGTATGTTGTTTTTGGGACCTTGTAGAAATCCATTGAAGTTATATAAATTCTGTTAAAATTCGTTCCAAGTTGAGTGAAAACATGGCCTAGATTGCCTGAACTATTCTGCCTCAGATGGTAAGCTGATCTGTGATGAGTTTACTGCAGCCATAATAGCCATCGGGGCGGTCGGGTAGCCTAGTGGTTAAAGCGTTCGCTCGTCACACCGAAGACCCGGGTTCGAATCCCGACATGGGTACAATGTGTGAAGCCCATTTGTGGTGTCCCCCGCCGTGATATTGCTGGAATATTGCTAAAAGCGGCGTAAAACCATACTCACTCACTCATAATAGCCATCCCTCGGATTGTTCAAATTATGACAATACTACAAAGTGTGCCGGACACAAAATTACAAATTGTTGCACAAGCGCCGAGTCAAGTAGACCTTGCTCCTCTTTAAATTACATCACTTTTACATTCTCACTGGTCATATTTCCTGAGTATGACGGGATATTCCTTGGTGTTATGGGGTGTTCCTGGGTATGACAGGATATTCCTTGGTATTTTTGGGTGTTCCTGGGTATGAAAGGATATTCCTGGATATTGTTGGCGGTTCCTCGGTTTGACATGATATTCCTTGGTATGGCAGGATATTCCTTGGTATTTTGGGGTGTTCCTGGGTATTGTAGGGTGTTCCTGGGAATGACTGGATATTCCTGGATATTGTGGGGTGTTCCTGCATGGGTATTGTGGGGTATTCTTGACAGGATATTCCTGTGTATGACAGTATATTCCTGGGTATGACAGGGTCTTTCTGGGTATGGCAGGATATTCCTGGGTATTTTTGGGTGTTCCTGGGTATGAAAGGATGTTCCTGGGTATTGTGGGGTGTTCCTGGGTATGGCGGGGTATTCATGGGTATTGTGGGGTGTTCCTGGTTATGACGGGATAATGCTTGGTATTCTGGGGTGTTCCTGGGTATGACGGGATATCCTTGGGTATGGTGGGGTGTTCCTAGGTATAACGGGGCATTCCTGGGTTTTGTGTGGTGTTTCTGGGTATGAAAGGATATTCCTGGGTATTGTGGGGTGTTCCTGGATATGGCGGGGTATTCCTGGGTATTGTGGGGTGTTCCTGGGTATGACGGGATATTCCTTGGTATTCTGGGGTGTTTCTGGGTATGACGCGGTATTCCTGGGTAATGTGGGGTGTTCCTAGGTATAACGGGGCATTCCTTGGGTTTGTGTGGTGTTTCTGGGTATGACAGGATATTCCTGGGTATTGAGGGGTGTTCCTGGCTATGACGGGTTATTCCTGGTGTCTGTGGGGTGTTCCTGGGTATGACGCGGTATTCCTGGGTATTGTGAGGTGTTCCTTGGTATGACGGGGTATTCCTGGGTATGACGGTATGTTCCTGGGTATGACGGGGTATTCCTTGGTATGACCGTATGTTCCTGGGTATGACGGGGTATTCAAGGGTTTTGTGGGCTATTCCTCGGTATTGTTGAGTGTTACTGGGTATGACGGGGTATTCCTGGGTAATACGGGGTGTTCTTGGGTATGGCAGGATATCCCGGGTATTGTAGGGTGTTCCTGGGTATGACGGGGTATTCCTGGGTATTGTGGGGTGTTCCTGCATGGTTATTGTGGGGTATTCCTGGGTATTATATGGTCGTCCTGGGTATGACGGGGTGTCCCTGCATGGGTATGACGGGGTATTCCTGGGAATTGTGGGGTGTTCCTGGGTATGACTGGGTATTCCTGGGAATTGTGGGGTGTTCCTGGGTATGACAGGATATTCCTTGGTATTCGGGGGTGTTCCTTGGTATTACGGGATATCCCTGGGTATTGTGGGGTGTTCCTGGGTAGGACGCGGTATTCCTGGGTATTGTGGGGTGTTCCTGGGTATAACGGAGCATTCCTGGGAATTGTAGGGTGTTCCTGCATGGGTATTCTGGGGTGTTCCTGCATGGGTATGACGGGGTATTTCTGGGTATTCTGGGGTGTTCCTGCATGGGTAGACTGGGTATTTCTTGGTATTCTGAGGTGTTCCTGCATGGGTATTACGGTGTATTCCTGGGTATTCTGGGGTGTTCCTGCATGGGTAGAAGGGGTATTCCTGGGTATTCTGGGGTGTTCCTGCGTGGGTATGACGGGGTATTTCTGGGAATTGTGGGGTGTTCCTGGGAATGACGGGATATTCCTGGGTAATCTTCGGGTGTTTGTGCATGGGTATGACGGGGTGTTCCTGCATGGGTATGACGGGGTATTTCTGGGTATTCTGGGGTGTTCCTGCATGGGTATTACGGTGTATTCCTGGGTATTCTGGGGTGTTCCTGCATGGGTATTACCTTGTATTCCTGGGTATTCTGGGGTGTTCCTGCATGGGTAGAAGGGGTATTCCTGGGTATTCTGGGGTGTTCCTGCATGGGTATGACGGGGTATTTCTGGGAATTGTGGGGTGTTCCTGGGAATGACGGGGTATTCCTTGGTATTCTGGGGTGTTGCTGCATGGGTATTCTGGGGTGTTCCTGCAGGGGTATGACGGGGTGTTCCTGGGTATGACGCGGCATTCCTGGGAATTGTGGGGTGTTCGTGCATGGGTATGACGGGGTATTCCTGTGTATTCTGGGGTGTTCTTGCATGGGTATGACGGGGTATTTCTAGGAAATGTGGGGTGATCCTGGGAATGACGGGGTATTCCTGGGTATGACGCGGCATTCCTGGGAATTGTGGGGTGTTCCTGCATGGGTATGACGGGGTATTCCTGTGTATTCTGGGGTGTTCTTGCATGGGTATGACGGGGTATTCCTGTGTATTCTGGGGTGTTCCTGTATGGGTATGACGGGGTATTCCTGGGTATGACGCGGCATTCCTGGGAATTGTGGGGTGTTCTTGCATGGGTATGACGGGGTATTCCTGTGTATTCTGGGGTGTTCTTGCATGGGTATGACGGGGTATTCCTGTGTATTCTGGGGTGTTCCTGCATGGGTATGACGGGGTATTCCTGTGTATTCTGGGGTGTTCCTGCATGGGTATGACGGGGTATTTCTATGTATATCTATGATCTTCTTATCTATGACCAGACTTTAATAAGTAATTTGTCTGACATCGGGGTCCTCTAAGTAAGTATTAACCGTTAGATATAGTATATGCTGAATCAAATCTTGATACAGGCAGTAGTGTTATAAGGATATTATTCAAACTGGGTCTTCAGAAACCCATGCTTTTGTATGAGGTGACTAACGGGATCGGGTTGCCATGGATATCATCGTATACCAACTGCATAGATCGATGACCATGAGGTCAATCACTGGATTGTCTGGTACAGATAGATTATTTACAGACCCCCGTCAGCTGGATTATCGCTGTGTGGCTTGGAGCAACAAACACGATGTGAGTAATTGTGAGTAACCTTACTCTCCCATGTCAGGCAATCACGTCAGAAACATTCCCCTTGAGGTAAACTGGAAGTATGTAAGACGAGAAATCGTGAAAGGAAAGGCCAACAGTACATGCAGAGTAAGTGAGCGAGTAGGATTTTACGCCGCTTTTAGCAATATTCCAACAAAATCACGGCGGAGGACACCAGAAAGGGCTTCACACATCGTACCCATGTGGGGAATCGAACCCGGGTTTTCGGCGTGACAAGCGAACACTTTAACCACTTGCCCACCCCAACGCCCAGTACATGCAGAAACGTGTGGCAGCTTCATGTATTTAGTGGTGGACTGTCAATCACTGGATTGTCTGGTCCAGACTCGATTATTTACAGACCACCGTCAAAAAGCTGGAATATTGCTGAGTGCGGTGTTAAACAACAAACACACACATACAGTGGTTGATTGAACATATCCCTAGATTTACGGTGGGGATCAAAGTAACTGGTGGCTCTAGAGGTGTGTCCAGTGGCTGCACATGCCCTTATTTCACCTTGTATTTAAGTGTCAATCTATTGTGAGATGTAAACATTGTGACAGAATTACTTTAAAAATGACAATATCCACGGACCACGGCACGTGACACGACAAGCCAATCAGGAGCGACTTTGGTAAATGGGTCGTCCGTGCAGCATGTGCAGATCAGCCTTGTCCTCCGCCCTGTGTGGTCGAGCTGTGAATGTTTAGCGTTCCGGCGGGCAGCCTTCCTTGTTGACACTTACATTTGGTGGCAGGTGAAGAACATTTGAAGATACAACAAATGAAAATACACCGTGTGAGTGAAAATTGACTTTGTATTTTATTTTCGTCAAAGTTTTTGTTGAGTGTGCCACAAAGTCGGGCCAGCATGCCCGACCCAGAGAGTTTTCGGGTGGCTCTGGGACCCCCAAACAGCTTGGACTTTCGGGGGAAGTTTGAAAATGGCAATTAATTATCCTAAGCAAATAACATTTTCGCCATGGATCGAGATCATTTACGAAATGAAAGCCTGGGGATTTGTTTCTTTTTTGACGACCCGCACTTTGTTTTGAGTGTTTCATCTGTCCCTGTGAATCAAAGTCTGACAGGACTATTTTACGTAAACAAAACGCAGGTACTGATTTCCATACTTTGGCTCAGAAAGCTCCTCAAAACATTGATGATTTTGCATTTAAAATACAGGAGGCTGGTCTTTCATGTACAAAGTTAAATAAGGAAGAGTTTTGTGCTCTACGTGAAGTGATGTTCTGTATTCCAAGTCATTGTTTGTCAAAACCTGCCCACATATGACAGTATCTTGCAGGCGACGAGTCATGTCTGCATGAATGAATCCCAGATCATGCTGACAATACTGCAGTTTGCGTGTTAAATGTTTATTTTGAAAAAGATGAACAGATTGAACGGAGTGAGTATTTTCAAACCAATACAGGTTTAAGTTGCCAGGTCTATTGGTTCCGGAAGACCCGGGTTAGAATAGGTCTTCAGCAACCCATGCTTGACGTAAAGGGCGACTAGGCTTGTCGTAAGAGGCGACTAACGGGATCGGGTGGTCAGGCTCGCTGACTTGGTTGATGCATCTCATCGTATCCCAATTGCGTGGATCGATGCTCATGACGTCAATCACAGGATTCTGGTCCAGACCGCCGTCATGTAGCTGAGCGCGGCGTTAAACAACAAACAGTAAGTGAGTATATATGGTTTTACGCCGCTTTTAGCAATATTCCAGCAATATGACGGCGGGGGACGCCAGAAATGGGCTTTACTCATTGTACCCACTGGATGTCTTGACCCGTGACGATCCGGGGTAGAATAGGTCTTCAGCAACCCATGCTTGACGTAAGAGGGACTATCATGATCGCGTGGTCAGGCTCGCTTACTTAGGTGGTGTATGTCATCGTATCCCAATGGCGTGGATCGATGCTCATGATGTCAATCATTGTCTGGTCCAGACTCGATTATTTACAGACCGCCATCATATAGCTGGAATATTGCTGAGTGCGGCGTTAAACAACAAATAAACATATGCACAATAACAGGTTAGGTTAAGTCAGTGAGTGGGTATGGTTTTAAGCCGCTTTTAGCAATATGACGGCGGGGGGGGGGGCGCATGAAATGGGCTTTACTGATTGTAACCGGCCTTCAGGGTGACGAGCGAACGCTTTAAACCACTTGGCTACCCGACCGCCCAACATGTGATGATCGAGTGATAGGAAGGTCTATGTTCAAACAAACCAACAGCTGTGGGACTTCAGCGAGCCTGAGTTTAAAATAGGGCATGTGGATGATTTACACCCGAAAGAGTCGGTAGCATTGCGTAGTGAATACAAATTCAGGAGTGCCATTACGTATATTATCAAGTGCACTTAAATTCACCTTCTGTTTCAATTAACTTGCTGCACTATGACACTTACAGTACACTTGCCTGCTCCTTGTTTACGTTGTCTTGTCCCAACTCCGTGTATTCAGTGTGTGTATATAGGGGCGGTCGGGTAGCCTAGTGGTTAAAGCGTTCGCTCGTCACGCCGAAGACCCTGGTTCGATTCCCGACATGGGTACAATGTGTGAAGCCCATTTCTGGTGTCCCCCGCCGTGATATTGCTAGAATATTGCTAAAAGCGGCGTAAAACCAAACTCACTCACTCACTCAGTGTGTGTATACCGTGTGTGACTGCAAAATTTCATTGAAGTCTCTCTTGGGTGCAAGTATATTAAACAAAAACTGTCTTGCAACAATGTATTCCTTGTGGCCGACAATTTATCTTTTTCAACAGTTTGAAGCATAATTCTTTCCCCTAAAATTTACCATCGAACGATCATGTCCCTAACTAGGTTTTCTAATGTTGTAAATATGATGTGTACATACATTATATCAATTTACCTTCAAACTAATTAAAAAAAACCCATTCTCCCCAATTTGTTACAGATTCTGGGTAGAATAGGTTTTTAGCAACCCATGCTTGCCGTAAAAGGCGACTATGCTTGTCGTGAGAGGCGGCTAACGGGATCGGGTGGTCAGGCTCGCTGACTTGGTTGATACATGCCATCGTATCCCAATTGCGTGGATCGATGCTCATGATGTCAATCACTTGATTCTGGTCCAGATTCGATTATTTACAGACCGCCATCATATAACAGGAATATTGCTGAGTGAGGCGTTAAACAACAAACAGTGAGTGAGTGAGTATGGTTTTACGCCACTTTTAGCTTCATATATTACATGTATTAGTGTACATATATCTATTTACGTTCAAAAAGTTCGATTATGGATAAAAATCTTAATTCCTTGAGTTAGGTCCATCTTGTGCTGTGCGTGGTACAGAATGGCGGATCACACTTGTTTATGTAAAGTTACTTTGTACTGACTTATATATTTACATTCAAGTGGTACCCAATGACTAATTCTATACCTGGCGTATCTGACATGACAAAAGTTGTTTGGGGGCACGGGTGACCCAGTCCTCCCTGTACATAGTTGCATCCCTTGAACACGCCAGAAACACATGATCGTGAGTTCGAATTCCTTTTCGTCCCGGTTGTTTCTAGGTCCGTCAGCACCATACCATGCTTTCCTCCCACGCTGGACCGCCTCCGTGGTCTAGTGGTAGAGCGTCCGCCCGGAGAGCGGAAGGCCCGGGTTTCGATCCCCGGCCGCGTCATACCAAAAGACGGTACTTGTTGTTACCCTGTCTGTCGCTCGACATTAAGGGGCTAAAACAAGGACTGGTCGGCTCGGAGTCAGTATACTGTGTCTGAGTGGGGTATTCATGTTAAACTGCGGCATGGTATCTCAGTGAGCTAGCACTATAAATCGGCATCAGTCCGGACTAGTACAAGCAGCCACACAAACACACACACGTACATGTACGCCGCTATATTAGTGCAATAATCTTGGACGCGACGTTAAACCCCATTTCACCTCACCTCCTCCCACACTGTGATATGACCGGAATGAGTGGAGTTAAACCCGACTCACTCACGTTCGTTATGCGTGTCAATGTGTGATATCAGATTGTAATGTTTTATGTGGACGTTGCACAACTTGACTCTGTATTATTTGTCCACAGGGCCTGTCATCAGTCTTCCTAGCTGAGGAAACTATCATCTTGAGAACTAAGTCTTCAACATGCGTTTGCGATTCCATCAAACTACACAGGTTTAGGCAGGAGGCATGGTCATACATTCAGGCTTACACTTGAGCCCGTGGATTTGACCTTCAAAGTGTCATTCTTTAAGGAAAGCGTAGAACATCTTGGTTTCTCAATTTCAGTTGATGGCGTCGGTCCCCCCGTAGTAAGCAGTCCAGGATGGTCCTGTTCCTGGACATGGGAGCAGGTTTGGTTCACTACATTACTTTGATGTATTCCCAATGTTTCGGATTTTGTTTTGCCATGAAAGTATGGGTGTCGCCATGGCGCTGGAGGGCATGGGCATGGGTTGCCCAGTCGCCGCAATATGCGTTCCAATCCCGGTTTGCCAGCACCAAGCATGTAAAAACACGCCCTGGAATATTGACTCGGTGAAACTGAAACAAATATCAAATGTCTGGCGGTGTCTACATCACTAATTCATTTCATGTACAGACCCGAGTATGCCAATTGTGTATTTGAGGAGAAATAAATGTGTAACAACCGCCAGTCTTTCTTGTTATCCATAACACCACCCGGGTAAGAATAGGTGATACATGTGAAGCTGATCCGTGAAGAACCGGGATAGAATAGGTCTTCAGCAGCCCAGGCTTGCCGTAAAAGGCGACTATGCTTGTCGTAAGAAGCGACTAACGGGATCGGGTGGTCAGGCTCGCGGATGTCAATGATGTGTGAAAGTCCGCAAAAGCAATTTCCAGCTAGCAATCGTTGACTTGGAAAGGATTCCACATGCCGAATTCTGTCAACGCATATAAATTTGTCCATTATATTGGAATGACACTGAGAATCGGCACAGTACAGAAGACCCAAAACTATTGTCAACACGTGCGATTGCTAGCTTGAAATTGCTTTTGCGGTCTTTCAGTGTTGAATATTGCAGTCTGCACCAGACAATCAAGTGATTCCAGACTCAATTTATGCAGACTGTCGTCAAAGTTTAAAAAAAAGCAATATTTTCTCGGAAAATCCACACTGCTTGTAGAGAAACTGTACCCGCAATTGGAAAGGAATCCATGAAGTAGTCGCAAAAATATAGCCCTTGTAGTTTCCGAGTACATACCGACGGGATGCAGCTGATAAGAAAACCCTGATGGCTTTTAGACAGTTTATTCAGTCTGCTTGGATCGATGTTCATTTTTTTTAGCCCCCGCCGGGCCAGAATGACCGAAGGGGGATTATGTCGTGGCGCAGTCTGTCCGTCCCCTGTTTTACGGAGCTTCATTTCATTTGCCTAATTGTGAGAGAGGTACTGAGCTTGTGAAATCAAGTCCTACAGATACAAGAGAATATCCCTGACACTCTACACACAAGATGTCAAGAAATCTACTCTTCCAGTTTCCAAAGAATATCACAATATCTAACTATAACTATAGGGAGTTTCCTTGTATAATGCTTTTGTGGTTGGTTGTTTAACGCCGCACTCAGCAATATTCCAGCTATATGACGGCGGTCTGTAAATAATCGAGTCTGGACCAGACAATCCAGTGATTAATATCATGAGCATCGATCCACGCAATTGTGATCGATGACATGCATCAACCAAGTCAGCGAGCCTGACCACCCGATCCCGTAAGTCGCCTTTTACGACAAGCATGGGTTGCTGAAGACCTATTCTACCCCGGATCTTCACGGGTTGATGAAGACCTTCTCCACTTCAACCAGTCTTAAATGAACTGAGCTTGTAACAAGGGAGATAACCAGTAATTTCTAAGCTTCTCAGTGCGTCAATGGGGCTACCGCTGCGAGGACCTGCTACTCATTAGGCATTATGCCGAGCGACATAAAGCAAAAATCAGGAAATGACGTCTCCCCACTGGCATTGTGATGACCTCCAGCTGCTGCCCATCGTGCGATGTGATGTGTAGGGTCGACGACATCGGATGTGACATGCAGCAAGGCGACGTCCGGTAACTGATGGGCCTTCCCCTTGTTCCTGTATTAGTCTTACCTTACCGGTTGATTACGTTCAAATTGTATGTGGTCCACACACACACACTGAAAACACCTGAAAAAAATTGTGTTATTTTAGTTTACATCCTTGTTTCAATATTCAGATCACAACTACTGCTAGGGCACTGACAGATGGTAAGCAAATATAGAGCCACAGCTATACAACAATGTTTTTGTTTTGTTTTCTGTTCCCTATAATAGTAATATAGGTGTTTTCAATCAACATGTATTTGCATCCTTTCAATAATACATGTAATACATTTAAGTTTAAAATAGTATACTGCATTGCAATGCGTTTGTTCTCATATACATATCCTGATTGCTTCAGCACATACAGTGTCTTGATGTAACCACACGGCTCTAAATTCATATTTGACAGGTTGTCGAGTTATCTATGGTATATTACGTGCGCTTCAAACAATTAACTTTTGCTGACTGCTCCCCGTTATTGCGCTGGAGAAGACCCGCGCTGGAACACATGATATTCGCTGATATTTTAAAGGCTTATTTAGTAGTAAATGAGTGAGCTAAAACTTAACCTCACGTCAATATTTCAGCCATATTGTGACGAGAATACAATTATAACAAATATATTTGGACTGAATAAGAAACCTTTCAGTGACGGACAGTATACTAACTAGAGTATCACAGTTTCGAATTTCGAATAAATTATCATTCAACAATACAGTATAAAAATGAACTACAGATCTCCAGCAACCAAGGTTAGGCCACCAAACTAAGGGGACTTACTATTCTCCCTCTCCCTGCGCGGTTCCCCAGCAGGATTTAGAACCAACCCTCAAGGTTCTGGTGATGGTAAGCAATTAAGCCATCAGCTAAATTAGACACATATGCCATGTTTAAAACTGTGGTATGAATAAACATACTTAGAAAAAAATACTATCTACACAATTCAAAATTTATCAATAAGTTCTATTTCTTTACAAAAAACTAAAATAAAAAAAGTATAAATAATATTTTTAAAAAAGATCCATTAGAGATGATTTGAAATATTTATCTCTTTGTGATGGAAAAATCAACAGTCAAGCAGGATCTTCACCTTTTAATAAGTATTCCTGTGTTTATCGTGAATGGCCAATATGACGTCTCAGTAAGACCTATTCAATTCTGAACTGACAACCCAAGTAGGTCTAACCGATAGTTGGTTTTATTGCAAGTAATTTATTTATACTTTTTGTGTGTCCCACGTCTGCATCTCTGATGTAGCATCTAATTACAGGTTTATAGTCACTCTATGGTATAAAAAGTGGTGTCAGATTTGTTGAGTGCTGCCTTAGCTGCAGCATCAGCCAAAGTGTTACCAACGGTTCCAACGTGGCTGGGTAACCAACAAAAGACGATGTTGTATTGGCCAGTAGCAATATTTTTATATAGAAAAGTATTTTTCATTGCCTGAAGACAGGAGAGCGAGTCTAGAGCAGTTAAAATGGCCTCTGATTCAGCTGTTAAAACTGAAGAGTCATTTGGTAACCTAGTTAATAAAGTTCTGGCAACAGCATCACCATCCTTGGATCCATCTGTAAATATAGATTTGTAGGTGTTATATTGGCTTCTAAACTGATTATATTCTTGTTGATATTGTTGTTTCAGATTTCTTTAGTTTAGATAAGGTAAGATCCACCTGTGGCTTTACCAATTGGCAAGGAGAAGAAAGTAGGCGGGAAGAGATATATTTTCGACTTCAATATTTGCAGTCCTTTGAGGATGGATTTCGCTGTTATGGTTATATCTATGTTTTAATTTTAAAGTCATTCATAAATTGTATCCACTTTTTCAACTTACGAAGAAATACCCATCGTCAAAGAATTCATAAAGATCGCCGACCGACGCCATTACAAATATCTTCTGCTTTGAGGCGTTAAGTGATCACGTAACGCCGGGAACATGTACTGGCGTGAACATGTATCATGTCAGGCTGTCAACGTTATGGTTTTGAAGGATAACTTAAGCAGGTTGGGGAAACCCACGAAACGGGCTATAAAAGCCCATTCGGGCCAGAATAGCCCAATCGGGCTATATGTGGATAGCCCAATTGGGCTATACGAGAACGTTTTCGGAATTGAGAGCGGGCCCCCAAAATACCGCATTTGCGATACCCCATCAGCACATCGACTGACATTAACCACCTATGAAAATAAGGAAAAAAACACAAAAACACACATCGTTCAAGAGGTGCATATTCACAAATATACATACCCAACATGCTCAAAGACTTTCAGACAGCCATAACGGGAACAAACATTAAAGATGTAGTCATGAAAGCCGAGGCACACTTCACCGACACAACATGCCGCCATTGGGATGCAACTGCGCATGAACGGAAGCGACATATACGTAAAAAAACGGAAAATATACATGCACACAAATTGATTTGAGGAATGTATGGGAGGTGGATATTGACATACGTGTAGTTATGCACTACTTGGAAATAAGAAACAAAGACAAAAAGAAAAAAGAAAATTAGGTGTCATGAAATGTAAAGTCATTCATTGGTCGTAAAACATACACAATTACTTGAGACCATATAAAAGGGGCCGATCTGGGAATAATCATTCCCACACAACACAGCAACATGGAATGCGGATGCAAGAATCACAGTGAATTTTCACATGGAAAGCAGTTTAAGGTACTAAAACTTACTTGGAAAAAAATACCAAAATGCATTGTGAAGAAATTAATTGATAAACAATTGTTGACAGAAAAACAAAATCTGCTGTGCACTGCCTGTGCTGATTATTGCCGTGATAACAGACGCAATGAACATTCACAAAGTGTGAGAACTGTCATCGATGAAAATAACAACGGCAAATGTACACTGGACGAACAAGCAGCCATTGCATCAGCGTTAGGCAATTACCAACATGACGCAATACAAATGGAAGCACGTGCCATCAAATGTTTAACACTTGACGATTTCATGAACTATGACGCCCAAAAATGGCTAAATGACAGAAATCCCATATGTATTGCATTCCTAAGGGGATTATGCAACCTTCAGGAAGGCGATTGCAACAAAAAGCTATTGTCCATGATACTCTATGTAGAACAGTTATTGTTATGCTGTTGTTTGTCAGTTGTTGCTCCATTGTCCTTCATGACAAATGTATTTACTTATCTATGTACTGGCAGCAAAACTGCTTGTCAGTTAAATTCAAAGTCATCCCCATCAGGGTCATACACCACCATATGCAACTGGCTAAATGATCAAGCAGCTGCTCCCATAAATTGCCCCACTGGTTATGATCTCATAACTTTTTTTGATAATAACCAGGTGTTGGCAAGAAAATGGCGAGTTAGTGTGAAAAACACCAACCGTCTTAGCTGTGTGACGACACTGATCCACATCACCCCGTCCCAGGACTATGTCCTGCAAACACAGCCTCAGTTGTCGCCATGTGTGTGGTTAAACATGAGCCCCGCTACCCTAAACGTGACAAGACAGGTTTATGATTCAAACATAGATGATTGTAACAACTTCCGCGTACACAGGAAGAAGTTCATTGAAGAACAAATT